TGCAGAGTGCCTGTTTGCTTTTTATGGTGGTGAGACTCTCTACCATAAATACCTAATCCTCTTTCAGTTCTACAACGTCTTCCTTTTCTTTTGGTGTGCAAACTTTGTGACGGCCTTGGGCCAAGTCACTCTGTCGGGTGCATTTGCATCATATTACTGGGCCTTCAAGAAGCCTGAGGATATCCCTGCCTACCCCATCTTCTCCTCTCTTGGAAGGGCCCTAAGGTTAGAAAATACATTTTTAATAATAACAGTTTTTTTATTTGTAGAATTGTTTTAGCGCAGCTTGAAAGGCTTACATGGTAAGATATCTACAACGCTGACAGGAAGTTTTCTCCAAAATGTTTAAAGTTTTGTTACCCTAAGATAGAATGACTGATGCTCACGACTGGCCTCTGTTTCCTTGTGCTGATTAGATACCACACAGGCTCTCTGGCTTTTGGCTCTCTCATCCTGTCTTTAGTCCAAGTTATCAGGGTCCTTCTGGAGTATCTGGATCACAAGTTAAAAGGTGAGCTATAACATGTTGCATTTGCCTTTTGGTCTCTGTTTATTGTCTTATAATTAAACTCTGTGTTTATATGCATTTACGTTGTTGATACAGACTGTTAAATATGCATGCAAACTGCAAGTTTTGCACGTAAAGTACTTGATTCTTATGTTATCATAAACTGTTCCTGCTTCTAAGGTGCTCAAAACAAATTTGCTAAGTTTCTGCTAAGCTGCTTGAAGTGCTGCTTCTGGTGTCTGGAGAAATGTATCAAGTTCCTGAACAGAAATGCGTACATCATGGTGAGTTCCTGTAACTGGACACAGCGGCCTGACAGACCGTCTCAACCGTTAAAGCGCTTCACGATCGTCTTTTTAAATTTTTTTCCTCTAGATTGCAATCTATGGAAAAAACTTCTGCACCGCAGCTCGAGATGCCTTTTTCCTTCTCATGAGAAACATTATTCGGTGAGATTTCATTCATATTCATATTTTATTCACTATTTGCTATTCTTAGCGTGTTTTAATTCAACACTCATATTCTCATATTCTGCACAGGGTGGCTGTTTTAGATAAAGTGACCGACTTCCTGCTGTTCCTTGGGAAGCTCCTTATTGTTGGCATTGTTGGTAAGAGAGTTTTTTAAATTTTATTTTTAGATCCAACTGCAGAGAGAAAAATCTGCCTTTCTAGTGTAGATCTACTAATTCACCTTTTTCCTGCATAGGGATTTTCTCTTTCTTCTTCTTCTCCGGAAGAATCAAAGCTGTAGAGCAGGCTGCTCCATCTCTCAACTACTATTGGGTCCCAATACTGGTAGGCACAATTATATTAATAAGCTTTGGTGTTAGTCTTCAGTTTGTCTGTGGCCATTTAATGACATGTGTGACTTTCTCCTGTTAGACAGTGGTAGTGGGATCCTACCTCATCGCCCATGGCTTCTTCAGTGTGTATGCTATGTGTGTGGACACACTTTTCCTCTGCTTCTGTGAGTAATTTTTGCCAAATATCCACATTTCCTCTCTTCCTTTTTTACAAACAGCTGTCTAAATGTGAGCTGCTGGTTTCGTCTTCTTCCGAACAGTTTTCTGACCTTTCTTCTCTTTGTCTCATTTTTCCTATTAATTTCACTTTACTTTAAACCCTACACATTCCTTTCTTTCACCTTTTCATTTTCCCTTAATTTTCCATTAACCCATTCAAAAACACAACATACCCATGCACTTATAAGGTGAGGACTTGGAAAGAAATGACGGCTCTTCTGAAAGGCCTTACTTCATGTCCCCTGAGCTGCATGATATCCTCTCCAAATCAAAGCCGGTGGAGGAAGATCGCAATGGTGTTGAGCAGGCGGATGCTGCGAAACAAGTGGACGAAGTTAAAGTGGAGGAGGAAACACCTCTTCAGCAGCAGGATGGAGAAATACAGCTGAAAGAACAGACAAAGCTGAAGGGGGAAAATGAGGAGGAGCAGGCTTTGCAATCAAAGATAGATGCTGACGAGTCAAAAGAGGAGAAGACGGAGGAACAAAAGATCAGTCTGGAAGATGAGACTGAAAGGAAAGAAGAACCAGAAGTGAAAGAGATGTCAGAAAAGCAGGAGTTGAAAACGGAGGAAAAGGTGGAGGAGGTGTCCGCTGCACCTGTGGAGGCAGAGAAAGAGGAGACTGGTGAAAAGAATGAGAAAAAAGAGGAGACTAAGGAAGAAAAACCTTCATCTGGACCACAGGAGTAGATGTTGCAAAGCACCTGAGGCTCAGAAAATCTCATAGAGCATAAAGAATGAAAGATGTGCAACTATACCTTTGTGATATGGACCTGTTAAATGTACGCCATACAACAAGCTAAAGTTTCAGATTGCTTTGCTATGTGAGTATAGGAGGGATGTCCACCTGGAGAGGGTTGAAGGTTTGAAGCAGGTCAAAAGCCCAGTGCATCTCTGTAGCTTGAAAAAAAACAAAACGCTCTCTTGTGTTGGTTTTAGAACAGTGTTGGTTTTTATATCGTGAAGATCTGTTGAACATCGTGAGTGCTGAACCTGTGCCTGATTACTGTCACTAATATTTGTTGTCTTAATGCTGTTAACAAATGCACTACAGATACACTTAAGTACCGTGTTTACAGTCAGAACAAACACATCTCAATCAAATCTCTTTCACTGTTTACAATAATACCAGCTGACGCCAAAATGTTAACAGACATATTTGATATACTGTATGAATATTGGATTTTTTCCCCTATGGAACTTGTACATATACAGTAGTGTACATCTGTTATGTATTTTTTGGCTTCAGTCAAGTGGAGATCCTTGCAGAGAGGGGGTTCCATATATTGTCTTTCCACCTACTTGCCTTGGTATTTTGGACTGACGTAAGTGCTGTGATTGTGTCGCCATGATGAAGCCATCATGACCTCTCGGACTCTACGAACCCCCCAGTTTGTTTACTGATGCCTCCTGCCTTGCTCTGTCCCTCCCCTTAAATCTCTCTCTCTCTCTCTCTTTAAGCACTGCATGGTACTGACATGACCTTCTGAATGCTAACTAACATCTTAAGTCTCTGGATGCTTTTGTACCTTTTTCTTGTCACTTTGTGAAAGATCTAAGTCGTTTTTCCACTAAATTTTCTGATGACATTCCGTCATCACTACGTGTCAATCTTGATTAAAGGTGATTGTATTTTAATCGTAGTAGTTCAGAATTTCAAGTTTGGTTGGTGTTTTGAAGCAGGTGAGTTTTCATGTGAAATAAATCCCTGGCAATGATTTAAAGCACCTTTAAAGCACACAACAACAAATTTTACATGCCAAAATCAGTCTGTATAAATTTCTCTTCTTCTTCCTTCTTAAAATAATTATCACTTGAATAAATCTACAGTTGGGCTTTAGATACTTAAATCAGAATATCTCTCTCTTTGTTATTAAGAGCATTTTCTTCACAATTGTTTCCCATTTATAGCTTGTGAGCCCTTAAAAGAAGTGGCATCGTGTATACATTGTGACCCTTAATCACATGCTATTGAATTTTGTGTGGAAGTTACTTGTGAACAGTTTGAACTAAGAGATACATGATGAGGTACATGAAGAAAGGAATGAGAAAAGTCATTAAAATAAACGATACATTGTAACCTAAATGTGCCTTTTTCCCCTTTTTTTCCTTTTAGTCATGTCATTCAGGGTTTTTT